CTCTTGAGCTTACCATCTCGTAATAGAGATTAGGCACATTCAGTTGGCCTATTTTATCATTTACAGGATATATACTTTTATTTTCGTTTGCTGTTTCCCCATTACATGAGCCCTGCTGTGAATGTGCTTACAATCTTTGGAATTTATGGTCTGATCAGATGGATTAATCATATTAACTTAGGCTCCAAGAGAGCAATTTTATTGTTGATAATAAATATTCTGAGTTCTAAAATAAAAAATAAAAAAAAAGAAATGAAAAAGAAATGAAGGAAACGATAGCAAAGATCAATAAAACTAAAAGCTGATTTTTTGAGAACATAAACAAAATTTATAAACCATTAGCCAGACTCATAAAGAAAAAAAGGGAGAAGACTCAAATCAATAGAATTAGAAATGAAAAAGGAGAAGTAACAACTGACACTGCTGAAATACAAAAGATCATGAGAGATTACTACAAGCAACTCTATGCCAATAAAATGGACAACCTGGAAGAAATGGACAATTTCTTAGAAAAGCACAACCTTCTGAAACTGAACCAGGAAGAAACAGAAAATATAAACAGACCAATCACAATTGGTCTGAAATTGAAACTGTGATTAAAAATCTTCTAACAAACAAAAGCCCAGGACCAGATGGCTTCACAGGAGAATTCTTTCAAACATTTAGAGAAGAGCTAACACCTATCCTTCTCAAACTCTTCCAAAATATAAAAGAGGGAGGAATACTCCCAAACTCATTCTACGAGGCCACCATCACCCTGATACAAAAACCAAAGATGTTACAATAAAAGAAAACTACAGGCTAATATCACTGATAAACGTAGATGCAAAAATCCTCAACAAAATACTAGCAGACAGACTCCAGCAGCACATTAAAAGGATCATACACCATGATCAAGTGGGGTTTATCCCAGGAATGCAAGGATTCTTCAATATACACAAATCAATCAATGTGATACACCATATTAACAAATTGAAGGAGAAAAACCATATGATCATCTCAAAAGATGCAGAAAAAGCTTTCAACAAAATTGAACACCATTTATGATAAAATCTCTCCAGAAAGTAGGCATAGAGGGAACTTACCTCAACATATTAAAGGCCATATATGACAAACCCACAGCAAACATTGTTCTCATTGGTGAAAAACTGAAATCATTTCCAATAAGATCAGGAAGAAGACAAGGTTGCCCACTCTCACCACTATTATTCAACATAGTTTTGGAAGTTTTAGCCACAGCAATCAGAGAAGAAAAAGAAATAAAAGGAATCCAAATCAGAAAAGAAGAAGTAAAGCTGTCACTGTTTGCAGATGAAATGATACTATACATAGAGAATCCTAAAGATGCTACCAGAAAACAACTAGAGCTAATCAATGAATTTGGTAAAGTAGCAGGATACAAAATTAATGCACAGAAATCTCTTGCATTCCTCTACACTAATGGTGAAAAATCTAAAAGAGAAATTAAGGAAACATTCCCATTTACCATTGCAACAAAAAGAATAAAACACCTAGGAATAAACCTACCTAAGGAGACCAAAGACTTGTATGCAGAAAACTATAAGACACTGATGAAAGAAATTAAAGATTATACAAACAGATGGAGAGATATACCATGTTCTTGGATTGGAAGAATCAACACTGTGAAAATGACTATACTACCCAAAGAAATCTACAGATTCAGTGCAATCCCTGTCAAACTACCAATGGCATTTTTCACAGAACTAGAACAAAAAATTTCACAATTTGTATGGAAACGCAAAAGACCCCGAATAGCCAAAGCAATCTTGAGAAAGAAAAACGGAACTGGAGGAATCAGGCTCCCTGACTTTAGACTATACTACAAAGCTACAGTAGTCAAGACAGTATGGTACTGGCTCAAAAACAGAAATATAGATCAATGGAACAGGATAGAAAGCCCAGAGATAAATGCACGCCTTATCTTTGATAAAGGAGGCAAGAGTATACAATGGAGAAAAGACAGCCTCTCAATAAGTGGTGCTGGGAAAACTGGACAGCTACATGTAAAAGATGAAATAGAACACTCCCTAACACCATACACAAAAAAAACCTCAAAATGGATTAAAGACCTAAATATAAGGGCAGACACTATAAAATTCTTAGAGGAAAACGTAGGCAGAACACTCTATGACATAAATCACAGCAGGATCCTTTTTGACCCACCTCCTAGAGAAATGGACATAAAAACAAAAATAAACAATTGGGACCTAATGAAACTTAAAAGCTTCTGCATAGCAAAGGAAACCATAAACAAGTTGAAAAGACCACCCTCAGAATGGGAGAAAATATTTGCAAATGAAGCAATGGACAAAGGATTAATCTCCAAAATATATAAGTAGCTCATGCAGCTCAATATCAAAAAAACAAACAACCCAATCCAAAAATGGGCAAAAGACCTAAATAGACATTTCTCCAAAGAAGATATACAGATTGCCAACAAACACATGAAAGGATGCTCAACATCCCTAATCATTAGAGAAATGCAAATCAAGACTACAATGAGGTATCACCTCACACCAGTCAGAATGGCTATTATCAAAAAATCTACGAACAATAAATGCTGGAGAGGGTGTGGAGAAAAGGCAACCCTCTTGCACTGTTGTTAGGAATGTAAATTGATACAGCCACTATGGAGAACAGTATGGAGGTTCCTTAGAAAACTAAAAATAGAATTACCACATGACCCAGCAATCCCACTACTGGGCATATACCCTGAGAAAATCATAATTCAAAAAGAATCACGTACCAAAATGTTCATTGCAGCACTATTTAGAATAGCCAGGACATGGAAGCAACCTAAGTGTCCATCAACAGATGAATGGATAAATAAGATGGGGCACATATATACAATGGAATATTACTCAGCCATAAAGAGAAAGGAAATTGAGTTATTTGTAGTGAGGTAGATGGACCTAGAGTCTCTCATACAGAGTAAAGTAAGTCAGAAAGAGAAAAACGAATACCGTATGCTAACACATGTATATGGAATCTCAAAAAAAAAAAAAACAAAGGTTCTGAAGGACCTAGGGGCAGGACAGTAATAAAGATGCAGATATAGAGAATGGACTTGAGGACACGGGGCTGGAGGGGGAAGGGTAAGTTGAGACGAAGTGAGAGAGTGGCATGGACATATATACACTACCAAATGTAAAATAGATAGCTAGTGGGAAGCAGCCACATAGCACAGGGAGATCAGCTCGGACCACCTAGAGGGGTGGGACATGGAGGGTGGGATGGAGACGCAAGAGGGAGGGGATATGGGGATATATGTACACGTACGGCTGATTCACTTTGTTTTACAGCAACTAACAGAACAATGTAAAGCAACTATACTCCAATAAAGATGTTAAAAAAAAAAATCCCACATGTTGCAAAGAACAGTTTAAAATATAGTCTAAAGTGAATGACTCAAATTCTGTAATTATAAAGAAAAATACTGAGTGATAACACGTATAAGGATATATCGGCATCTCACTTGGCCCTTCATATTTAAGTATTAGAATTTTGTGAGTCTTTTTTCCACTCTTTGGAAATCCACTGAAGTGGATGCAGTAGGGCGCTACTCACATTCCCCTTCAGCATTAGCAACTCACCCTGCCAGCTGCTGGGAGAGTTGGATACTGATGGCTTGCAGCTGAGTCCTCTCCAGGACCTGTCTTCAGCCACAGAGCTGCTCCTGGGTGCAGGCTCCATCAGTGGCCGCTCAGAGGAAGATACAAAGTCCAGACCTCTCTTACCTCACCTAGAACAACTCTGAAGGGCCATCTGAGTTCCAAAACTCCCATAAGATCACCTGAAGCCTCTGTTTCAACTACGCTGCAAGTCAATTCTCTTTTGCCCAGTCCTTCTTCCTTCACTCTCCACTTGGCACATAAATCTCAGAATCTATTTCCTGGAAAACTGACATACAACACAGACCTAGTTGCAATATAGGAGAATAATAGAATATCAAAGATGCCGTATGCCAGGCTAGTTTTAAATGGCTTTCATACTGAAGGAATAAAATTGCAACTTTAGGGAAGCAAGGAAGATGTTATGTAAATATTAATGAAAAACATTTCCATTTGTCCAGAAAATTCAGCTTTACCTGTGTTTAGGGAACACGTGCTCAATTTATTTAGGATGCCTCTTTGTTCATTTGAGGGACTCTCCCCACTCCAGTGATGAGATTTGAAGAGCAGGTGCCAACTGCTGTGTCCAACTCCCAAGGCAGGAGTAGGAAAGTGACCCTGGCCTGGCCAGTCCTGGTTCCCCATGTCCTGTCTATAGTGATTAATCCAAGAGAAGGGCATGTGACCAAGGCAGAGCCAATCAGAGTCCTTCCATGGGATTGAACAGTACATAGCAAGAAAGATAGGCTATGTCCTTCCTCTTACATCATAAGCTGTGATAATGTAAGCCTGGAGCTGCGAGCGGCCAGGTACCTCACTGCCCATCTACAGTAGAAGAGAATAAGGCCAACACAGAGAGAGAAGTAGAAACAAGAGATGACAAGGTAAAGAGACAGAAGACCACACTGCACATGCCCTTGGATCCAACTGTTAGTCAGAACTAACCTTGGACAAACCAGCTACGTGAGCCCCAAATATTCCCCTTCATTTTGCTTAAGCTCCGTTGAGTTGGGATGTCCATCCCTTGCAGCTGAAAGAATCCTGTTGAGTTCACTGCATCAATCATCCAGTCAGAGACAGAGTAAAGTAAAACCAAATAACCACCCTAAGACATAACAGCAAAGCAGAGGTCCCTAGCATCAGAGCCCAGGAGCTCTACCAAATCCCAGCAGAGTCATACAGCTGTGAAACACAGAGGATGCATTCTGGGGAAGCTCTTTGTTAAAAGCTCCAACCGAGAAGCAGAATTAATATAGGCAGAATATAGACTAGAACATAGGCAGAAATAAAACGCTGTTTGTGGTGTAAAAAAAAAAATCACTGGTGACCCCCCCAAAATAAAAACAAACAGGACAATAAAACTCGTACCTGGTATTCTTGGAGGAAAGGAAGCTGTTGAGTTGAGGTCAGGGGAGATGGAGCTCGGGCTGAGAAGGTTGATGGCAGTGGAGAAAGTTCAGGTCCAAGTGGGCAGTCTGGAGGAAGGGGCTGTCAGACTCATGTTCGTGCAGGGCCTTCCACATCAAGAAAGAAGTGGGTGGTAAAGGAGAGGCTGATGGTTTACCCACGTCCCGCAATTCATAAGCAGAGGCAGATCGGCTGTGAAGGTGACAGAAATTAAACTTCAGTACTCCTCCCTTGCAAAGGCCCTTCTAAGATCCTGTGAGGGGCTCTTGAAATTTGTTTACTTGGTCATATGTGTTTGTAAAATTTGCAGAAGTAAGATACCTTAGCCAGAGTGGGTTAACAAGTGCTTTAAGACACTGTCTCTTTCTAACCTGATTTCCCCTCTTTCTTACTGATCCTCACGACATGTGGTATTAAGAGGTCATGAGCATCTTGGGGATCCAGCTAAGGGGGTGTTGAATTGGGGATCCATTTCGATTGGGTTTGGTGGATTATAGTTATGAAGTTCAAGGTCTCTTCCATGTACAGTTATACCAGCACCGCTTACAGTCCTGCTGTAGGAAATGTCCTCCAGGAATACACCTATACACCGTGCTGGCTTATAAAGGTGCAGGACAAGAGGTGCTAGGGCCATGTCAATGTGTCCTCTGCCACCCAACACCAGACATATGTGGGTAAGGGGGGAGAAATGCATTCTGAAATGTACAGAGCCAGAACGCAGTTCCATGGAACATTCTTCCAATCATCAAGTGTGGAAACTTCTAAGAACAGGATCTAGTGCTCATCACCACCTCGTCAGAACAGGGGTTGCATTTCCTGTCAACGATAAACTCAGTAATTCAGGGGACACAATCACGGTATATTTTCTAAAATTTTGTTACCTGGATTCATAGCCAGTTGACTAGACCTTGTGCTTATTCAAGGGACTCGTTCCTTCCACATCTTTCTACCTGCTTGCTGAAATCTACCTGGTGCCTGGGATTCCTTTAACAGGAGTAAGAGAACCCTATTTTTCTACCATACAGCTTAAAACGCAAATATTTGATTTGATTAAATCTTCAGTGTAAACTGGTTCCATTTTTCACTGTTTGTAAGATGTGGGATGGGGAGCTGGTTGGGGCGGGGCGTGGACCAAAGGATCAGAGTGGGGGAAGGGAAGAGCGAAGAGGAAGCAGGAAGGAGGAAGGAGGGTGAGGACCCTTCCCACCTAGGGGAGATGGAAGGACACAGAAATGAAACAGGGAAGAGGGAACAACTTTACAGACTAGCAACTTCTGTTCCACTTACCTTCAGCACGGCGGTGCCAAACAGGAGCTGTGTGTTGAGGGATGCTGGCATGCGGCTGCCAGCGTGGGTAGTCGGCTGCATGATTTATGAAGGGTTTTTTAGCACAGCCCCACATCCTGCAAAGAAGGTTCGTTCCCCAGGGATTCGTTACTCAAGGAGCACTGTGCAAACACCACTTCCTGGGGGATGTTAGTAGTGTCTGTAAGCAGGAGAGAGAGAGCGCGAGAGGGAATCATTGTTTTAGCAGAGAGAGAAATTAGCTCACAGCTGCAAAAGAAAACTCGCCTCTGTGTAGAACAGACCCCTTTGCTAACAACTGAACAATAAGCCACTTTCTTATGAAGGACTTTTGATATCTGCAAAGTAGATTCTGCTAACTAAAAAGTAAGTACTTTCTTCGAGCGTCTAGGCTTCTTGTGGTCAGCGTTTCCTTGGAAAGATGGAGTACTAGGCGGTGCTATCTAATTCCAGCCGAGAGCTGGATTTCGGCTGTTTATTTACATGAGTTGTTTGTGAATGTGAGCTGGTATACATGAAGGAGAAAGATGGGACTTTTAGAGCAATGGTGTGCCACCCGTCCCCACTCCCCAGGACTGGCTTTCAGCCCTACAAGGGAGAGGTGGGGCCGGACATGGAGGGAGCTGCTTCCAGGAAAGTTGGTTTGAGGCTCCAAGTCTCTGCGGGGGCGTGGGAGACAAAGAACAGCACAGAGCTGGGAAAGGAGAAATCTCCTGGGCTTGGGAGCATCGCGAAGTAATGCCCTGGCCCAGATGTTGGTGACCTCCTGTGCACACAGGCAGCTGCGCTGGTGGCATATTGATGAGGCAGAGTCAGAGGAGTGGAGTAGGACAGAAGCAGACAACAGAATCACGAGCTGGAGGTCAAGCCAGCCTAGGAATCTCTTTGGCTTCATCCCCCTTGACTCACACCCTAACTCGATCTCACCATTCCTAAGACCAGGAAAACTGAGATCTCCAAGGAAAAGGAGGGAAGAGGTGGTGTTTCTCCCACACCTAAAACTAACCGCCTGCAGTCCACTCCGAGGACAGGAGACACTCCTGCATGGAGGGCAGCCCACGGTCACCTCATCACACCAGTCTCAAGGTAGGGGACAATCCAGTATGAGACAATGGGGCCAGGGCTCTCAGAGCCTAAATACAGAGATACCAAAGAGGTGCATTTTAAGAGGGGGCTCTTCTCTAGGAGACCACACTGAGAAGCCAATCCCAGCACCTTTGACTTAACCCCCCACCCTGGCAGGGAGAAGAGTTTCCTGAGCCCTTGCTTCCCAGATGCTAATCTTAGAACTCATTCTCCAGGACTGAGATTTCCAGCGGGCCTGTGGAATCAGACAGAACCTCCCACCCCCTGAAAAGTAACCCTGGGATTGAGCAGAGGACAAACCTCTCCCTTCTGTCCCCCAATCTCCTCCCCCTTGTAACATTGTTGTATCCATCAGGACTCTTTTTGCCACAAACGGCAGAAACTCATTGAAACTGACTTCAGCCACAAAAATTTGCAAGGTGGGGTAGCAAGGTGGAGATGTGCTCATATCATTGAGATGTCCAGAGTCTCATTCATCTTTAGGCTTGGCTAAATCCAGGGGCTCAATTATTTCATCAGGACAATGTTTCTAGCTCTTGATGGCTCTCTTCTGTTGGGCTCAAATGGTGGCAAAAATGACCCCAGCAGTTCTACATTTTTATGGACCCGAGAGTCTGAAATTTCAGAAAGAGAGAGACTTTCTTTCCCTAAATGTAGGGAAGGCAAAAGTAGCAAAGCAGTTTTTTAATGGTCAAGCTTGGCCCATGTGGTCAGTTTTGAAACAATCACCATATCCAAGAGGATGGGACTGCCCAGTTGGAAACGGGAATGGGACCAGCTCCACTTCAACACATGGACTGAAAGTGGGGGGTGATTCCCCAATGGAAAACTGGGAAGTGCTCTCAAAACATGAGGGAAGAAAAGCTGGACAAGCAAAAACAGATATGCACTATAATTATTACTCATATAAGATCTAGTTTAAATGATCAGAAAGGTCAGGCTTGAAGGGGACCGGAGTTACCAAAAATACAACGGACACATGAAAGAGAGAGGGGGCATTCCATAGCTATTTTGTGGCAGCAGAAAGAATTAAATTATGGGCCAGCTGCGTTCACTCAAGTCTCAGGTCTTATATGGCTTCCACCAGCAAACAAAGCCACCTTCTTTTTCAGCCCCGCCCCTCTCCTCACTGGCTCTCTGCAAGAGTCATGGGCTGTCTATTCTGATCATGACAATCAGGGCGACTTCCATGCTTATCGTCATCTTCTAGCTAGGACTGCCCTGTCCTCAGCTCCCTGAACAGAGGCAATGCTGGACTCTTCCTTGCCCGGTGGTAGCCACTGACTGGAGAAGAGATGGGCGCATGATACAAGAGTGTTTCATCTGTGGGCACCTCCATGAGATGCTGTGGAGGCAACAGCAATCAACAAAACCAGTCAGACTGGGACGCTGGGAGAGTACCTAGTGGCAGCCTCTGATCTTGGTGGCTTTTTGCTGCCAGTACTACTTGTAGTCCACATGACTCCTCACATTAACCACCACCCTATTTTTCTTAAGAGGGTCTTAGGAAGTTTCGCCACTTCAATTTAAACCTCTCTGCCAGAGGAACAACTCACTAAACCCTAGGAGCAGCAGCTCTCGTTCTCCCAAATCCTCTCTGTGACAGGCTAAGTCACAAAGCAGCTCAGAGGGGGACACCACGACAGCTAAATTCTCAACATTGTTTTCAGGAAACATGGATGCTCAGGGTGGCAGACAACACAGTGCACACACAGCGGGGGTTCTGTGCTATCAAAGGCATCTGTCCATAGAGCAAACTCTCTCCAGGTTGGGAGAATGAACGTTCAAGGGGGTGGAAGGGAAAGGAGGTCAGGACACCCAGCAGTGCACAGTCCTTACTCCAAGAGAGTGGCTCGTTAAAAACACCACAGACAAAGCAAGATGGAAAGGTGCTTCGGGCTGCCTACCTTTGCCCTGGAACATAGGAACGCTTCAGTAAAAAAAAAAAAAAGAGGAATAAAAAACGACAAAAGCTATGGATAAGAACCAGTATAACAAATGAGAGAAAAAGCTATTGCTTCCAGCCGTATAATATATGCATTTTCTCTACTTGTCAGCTCCTCGAAAATGGAATCCTGAGTCCTTTCAGTCAACATCAAGCCTTTCCTGCCTAGTTAACATTAATAGAGGGAGGCAGGGAAGACGTGAGGGTAGCATTTGATAAGCGCTGGAGGAACACTGCTTTAGAAAAGCACATTAACCCTTTTTGCCTGTTCCAGCTCCTGCGGGGGGGGGGGGGGGGGCGGACATGGAACAGGTGGGCTTAATTGGCTCTGAACAAAGCCCTTGAAATCCCCGGAGAGCTATGCAACCAGATGTCGCCCTCTGGCACTAACTAAGTGTTAAAGAGGAGTCTTTGTAAGGAGCCCAGCCGAAGGTGGATGGCAGATTTGTTTGAATGAAACTAAGCTTCCACCTTCACTTTAAGACATTTTAGGGTACCCCTCCCCAGAAAAAAGACAACAAGATACTTACAGTAAAAGTTTACAATTCCCCGTTCTAAGTGTACCACGTAAGGGGTGAAATGAAGTTAAAGGGCATCTTGTCAAAACAGCAATATCCATCACAATTGCACCCCACCCCTCCATCCACCATCATGTTCTCTCTCACACTCCCTGATCTTTAAGGCTAGTTCACGTTTCTTTATGGTATCGTGGAAAGACCACTTGGCCGGGAGACAGAAGTCCAAGACTTGAGTTCTGCTTTCATCGTAGCAATGTGTATGATCCTGGGCACATCACTTATTTACAATGAACCTTTGCCTCCTTCACCACCAAGTGGTTCTACTTTATGTCACATCTGCCTCACAAGATTACCAGAAGGACCAAATGTATTCATCTGCCTGACATTTGCCAGACACCTGCTTTGTACCGGAAGGTACAAAGGAATATGAAGGAATACGTATTTGAACTAGACTCAGTTCCGACCTTGGGAAACTCACTGGACAGCCAGTGTACAGGACTGCGCTCTGTAAACAGAAGAGCACTTTGCAAAGGGAAACCATTTCTGTTTCCTGTTACTGTCCTCTAGATATATCCTAGATTTTGCCAAGCCCTTGTTCTCCTAGATAGTTTTAGTCTACTTCCTCTTGGTCCCAGCTTACTTACTTCTAAAGTGGTGGCTTCTGAATGAGCTTCCCTTGCAAGTAGAGGAGTTCCCAGTTTTTCTTCCAGGTTAATTTTTATTGAACATGACCTCTAGAAGGGGTAGCTCCTCTCCTGTGAGACTCTACTCTTGGGTCCAGGATAGATTCTCAAACCAAGATGAGCCAATATGCAGACGTAGCCTCTGTCCAGGAATTCAGAATTGGCACACTGAAAGAGGGACAGAAAGAAGCAGCCACGTGCAGGGGTGGCATGTGAATAAGGAACTCCAAAAAGGAGATCCATCTGTTCAACAAGTGTGTCCCCAGGGCTGTACCGGTGACTGTCTGGGAGACCTCCCTGCACTGTCTGTTTTATTTACTTTAGTAGGAGTGGGGTTTTGTTCCTTATGAACAAATGATCTGTCTGACATCCTGTCCCAGATAAGCATGGCCCTAGGACGCCAGCCCTAGGTTGGCCTTCAACAGATGTCTGGGTTTAGCCTAGCAACGAACCATATGTCTGTGTGCTGCAGCACACGAGGCTGTAGCCATGTTTTTAAATGGAAAACACAAAAATGAATAAGCTATTGAAGAGCTAACCCACTATAAACAGAGTTATCCAGTGGAAAGAAGCAGCTGAAAAAGTGTCAACAACATTATCATCTGTGAAAAACATTTAACCCCAGTCAACATTTTAAAAAGATACAGAAGGCCATCAGACTGGCCTTCTGCCTCAGTTTACCTCATTACCTGTCACTCTGCCAGTATCACCAAAGTTGAGCGCTGAACTTCGGCAGGAGCTTTGAGGTTCCAGTGGGCTCGTGCTGGGCACTGAGGATACAGGAGAAAATCTGTTCTCACAAGAGCTCTCTGTAAAGTGGAAGAAACCTAATAATCACACTTAATAATCACAACGCCGTGACAAACGCAGCTGTAAAAACGTGTTCAAGTGTCCTGAAGACATCCGGGCCGTGCTTCTGGGGCCGCCCAGAGCCAGCAAGGGTATCCAGGCACCCAAGTTGACTGAAAACTTCTGTGTCTGCCATTTGGCTACTGGGGACATGCTGAGGGCTATGGTGGCTTCTGGCTCAGAGCTGGGAAAAAAGCTGAAGGCAACTATGGATGCTGGGAAACTGGTGAGCGATGAAATGGTCGTGGAGCTCATTGAGAAGAATTTGGAGACGCCTCCATGCAAAAGTGGTTTTCTTCTAGATGGCTTCCCTCGGACTGTGAGGCAGGCAGAAATGCTTGATGACCTCATGGAGAAGAGGAAAGAACAGCTTGATTCTGTGATTGAATTCAGCATCCCAGACTCTCTGCTGACGCGGAGAATCACAGGAAGACTGATTCACCCCGAGAGTGGCCGTTCCTACCACGAGGAGCTCAACCCCCCAAAGGAGCCCATGAAAGATGATATCACCGGGGAACCCTTGGTCCGCCGATCAGATGATAATGAGAAGGCCTTGAAAATCCGCCTGGAGACCTATCACACTCAGAGTGCCCCGCTGGTGGAGTACTACAGTAAACGGGGGATCCACTCTGCCATCGACGCATCCCAGACCCCTGACGCTGTGTTTGCAAGCATCCTAGCAGCCTTCTCCAAAGCCACCTCCTAGTAACAGAATGCCAGGCGAGACTGCACCACTGCTCATCACCCTGCGGTGTGATCCCTGCTCTTAGGTGCTGGGCAGAGGGGAGGGGTGGTCAGGGTAAGGATGGAGAGGGAGGGTTGGTGAGGGCTCAAGAGGAGAATGGGAAGAGCAGCAGTGCTGTAGTGAAGTGATTTCTTTTCCATGGAGTAGGAGTCCTAAAAAGTATAAGCAAAGGGAAAAATTGATTTTTTAAAACACTGATTGGAGGGTATAAATAGAAACAGGGAGGTGCAGTATTATTTCTAAGGAATCACGTTGTCATTTACTCCAGACTGGTGACAATATTTTTTAAAGCCAGTGCCCTAAGACCTCAGCTTTTATCAGAACCTCATGTCAGCCCAGGAATGCCGGAAATCACACCGTTGTCCAGTCTGTCCTGTAGCTTGGAACAGGGCAGGAGATGACTACTAACCCTGGTTCCCCATACCATGAGATCAAAAAGTCGTCTCCCCCCCCCCCAAAAAAAAAAAAAAAAGTCATCTCCCCATTTGAAAGAGATACAGAGTGTGCTCGTGGGGGTAGGGGCTCAGCACATCAGGTTTACTGGAGTCATAGGGCAGGTGGGACAGGCCGGTCTCACTCCCTTCCCAACTTACCACTGATGTACCAGCCCACCGGTTCTCGTGGGTGAGCTCTCGACAGCCACCCAGCACATGCCACAGTCCTACACTCTTGCCTTCCTCCATCCATGTCGTGTGGAAGGACCCTTTTGAATAAATGAGCAAGTGTCCTAAGCGACCTTATCCAAAGATTGTCCTTTCCATCCTCAAATCCTGTGACTGGGATCACTCAACAGCACTGTGATGTATTATTTTCAATGAGGTGCCTTTCTTAACTGTCCAAATGCTGCCTTTGTTTGGCCCCTAAATCAATAAAGTGTGTTAAATGTTTGTAAAAACTAAAAATAAAAAATAAAAACGTGTTCAAGACAGAGAGCTAACACAGAGACAGGAGTGACCAACAACATCAGGGAGGAGGATAGGAAAGGCTTTCTAGAAAAACCTGGCTTTTGAAAACTGAATAGGAGTTTGTCTGGCAAATAGGGTGAAGTTAGAGGGGGGAGAAAGAAGAACATTTGAGGAAGAGAGAATAGCATGTCCCAGGACCACAATCCTTCAGCCTCTGCCCCTGACCCTCAGGAACACCCACCACCCAGGCTACTCTGTCCGCTATGCTCTGCTTGCCAAGATGGGTGCCCTGGACAGCACCAGAACCGGCCACAGCTTCCACTGCTGCAGACTCAGCATTTCACATCCTTGGCTAGGCTTGCAGTGGCCAGCAGCCCCCGTTCCCACACGCCTTTCTCCAGGTCTTTCCATTTATTCCGGTCCTTTGGTTGAGATCCCAGCGTGTTCTGCTTCCAGATTCACCAGAGCTAGGACCCTGGGGATGCAGTGAATGCTTCTTGCATGGGGGTGGGGCCCGGAAGGAAACCAGGCCCTGGGGGAGAAGATTTCCATGCGTGTCAGAGAGGAAAACCTTCAAGGTGGGGGGGGTGAGCAAGTGGTGTATTCCTCACAGAGCAGGATGAGGGGGACCTAAGAGAGAGAGATTTACATTGGAAAAGACACTAGTTCAAACAGAAATGACCTGGGCAACCCGTTACACGAAGGCACTGAGGGCACGGCGGATCCAAACAGTCCTGAGAGTGAGGCCTTGTGCCACCATGGGTCAGAGCTGAGCAACATTCGAAAGCTCCAATTTGTCCTAAGTGAACCAATGTGCAGAACTAACGAGGTCATCAATTTTTCTTCCAGTTAATGAACTTGTCAGGAGGGGTGTGATGCGGGAAGATGATGAGATGAGCAACCAAACCTGATTAAATAGTTTCATCTTCATCAAAGAATCAGACACAGAGCTGAAGCCCCATTATTCACTAGAAGGGGATAATTACACAGAGGGGGCTGCCGTCAGACCCACCCCTCCCCTCACCCAAGGGGCTCCATTCCCTTGGGTACAGGGAGTGTGTCAGACCTGGGAATGGGCGCTCATTTAATTCAACAACTATTTATGGGCGGCTTGCTCCATGTCAGGCGTGGACCAAGAACAAAGGATGGAGACGAATAAGATCCTAAGAAGTTCATGGTCGATCTAGCATGGAACAACAGCTAACTGAAATATGCTATGAAAGATGCTCCCCCAGCACTTCACACCAAGTGCTATGGAGATAGAGGCGAGTGGGAAAGAGAGAAAGGGGAGAGAACCCAGGAAGTCTTCTCATAGGTGGTCACCCTTGATCTGGGCTTTAGAGATGAGCAGAATTTCATCCTGGAAGAAAGAGGGGAACTGTAAGGGCATATCAGGCAGAGAGGCAAGCTTGAGTAAAGATAAGGTGGTATGGGGGCTTCCCTGGTGGCGCAGTGGTGGAGAGTCCGCCTGCCGATGCAGGGGACGTGGGTTCGTGCCCCGGTCTGGGAGGATGCTGCGGAGCGGCTGGGTCCGTGAGCCATGGCCGCTGAGCCTGCGTGTCCGGAGCCTGTGCTCCGCAACAGGAGAGGCCACAGCGGTGACAGGCCCGCATACTGCAAAAAAAAAAAAAAAAAAAAAAAAGATAAGGTGGTATCATAATATCCAGCTTGTTTGGAGAAATGTAACCGAGCAGGACCCTATGGGGCCTTCCTCACAGGACTCCCTCCACCGCACCCCCATGTCCTCCACCTGCCTTTTGTCTGTAGAAAAACTTTAGTCAAAGAAAAATTTAATCAGAGAAGTGAGAAAATGCAGAAGGAAAGAAAAACAGTCAAACGGGACAAATAATAACAGTTCAGTCATTAAGCAAAGTCAAGGACTGTCATTATCTGCCTGAAAATGAGTCTAAGCCATGATCAGGTTTCAGCCAGAGGGAGGGAAAAAGAATGTGGAGGAGGCTTAACTAAAGTCCAGACAGAGAAATGGCATCCAGCTCGCACTTTATTGGCAAGAAGAATGTCCCATGACCAAACCTAAATGCAAGGGAGGTTGGGAAACGTAGCATAACTAAGACTGACTACAACTGTAATACCGTGGAGGAAGGGGAAAATGGGTTTAGGTGGATAGCTGACCGTTTCTGCAACACTGCCTAAGACTGTCAAGTCTAATTTGTGGGCTCTTTTGCACTGTCATTTCTTACTAGGCTCTAGGAAATCCATAATAGACTTAAACCTCTTTGCTTTCCTCACGACTGTGACCTCACTACAGCAGCACACAGCAACCACTGACTGTATGCCATTGTCAATGGTAATTGACTAGAAAGGAATTATGATGAGAAACAATGGGCTTTCGCCACCCTATACTATAACCACTAAATAAATCTGTGCCTTCACAAAAAAGAGCTAAAGATTTCCACCATTTGAAAAAACACCCCCAGGGAACCCAGGCAAACCTCTGTAGAACTCCAAGACTTCACTGAGCACAGTTTGAAACCCTTAACACTACTGATGGGACAGGGTTGAAAGCTTCTTAAGAATTCACCCTGTGATTTAGACTCATGAGCATATCTCCATTTCTGCAAACTGAATAGTACGAGTGTTTTTTCCGCTGTGGATTAGGAGAGCTAAAAGTATTGCTGGGAGTAGAATAGTTTGGTATCCATAAGAAGTGTCTCCCCTGCCTGCAAGATATTCTCCAACCGCCCTACCATGGCAGGCAAGGCTCTTTACAACCTGACCGCTGCCTAACTTGCCCAACTCAATCAATTCCAACATTTCTTTCCGCTGTGCTCCCTGAACCCCTTGCTCTCTTCTGAGTGTATCATAACCTTTTGTACCCTTATCTCTGTGCACATCCTGTTTTCCCCCCTTGGTCTGGAATGTCTTTCTCCTTTATTTCTGCCTATTGGAACTCTGCCCTTCCCATCAAATTTTTCCTAATCTTTCCAACCTCACGTGCTTTTTTTTTCTTCCGCGGCTCTTTGCTTGTTCCTTATGACATGTTATATTCTATCCTGTAACATTTGCTGGCTTCTTTGATGAACTCTGCGACTAGACTTTAAATTCTTCTAGGGTAAGGATGAGTCTCACTCACCTCTTCCTTCCTGCCATGTCTAGCCTAGTATCTTGAGGTAGTAGGACTCAAAAAAAGTGTTGTTTTTTTTTTGGTCGCGCTGCGCAGCTTGCGGGATCTTAGTTCCCCAACCAGGGATCGAAACTGGGCCCCCCCGGCAGTGAAAGCATGGAGTCCTAACCACTGGACTGCCAGGGAAGTCCCCCAAAAAAGTTTCCTGAATTACCACTCCAGTCAGAAGTCTGGAGACGCTATACATTAGCTTAAATTCAGTCCCTCTTTAGGGAAGAGAAAGTACTTCCTCACATGCCTAGGTAGTCAGTAACTAACGTGCATTCAAGGTATGATTTTAGATTTAGCAGCAAGGCATTGCATTCCAAACATAAGTTTATTCAACTATTTGTGTAACATATTTTTTGTAAAATGTTTGGATTAATAAAACTTTCTCTGAACAGCTCCCATAACAGGTACTAGGAATCCAATATTGAACAAGACAGGCTTGGCCCTTTTTCTTGAGCAGCTTACGGTTCAGCCTGTCAGAGAGCCATCAAATCCATTACCAACTACAGACACTAACTGAGAGCCCATGGTGTATGAGGCATCACACCAGCAGGGTTGTGCACTGGCTGCGGTGTGCAGAGGGGAGCATCCGGTGACAGGTCACACACAGAATCAGTATCTGGTTGAGGAGATAGGACATATATAAAAACAACAACAACAAAAAAACAACACTGCTAAGTACCACATGTTCCTCACCAACCAGGAAATCAGTCATCAGGGGAGGCAGGTCTTTGCAGGCAGGATTCCTTGTTAAGGCCAGGTAAGTCCGAAAGACATCGCGGAATGGGAGGGACTTGTTCTAGGCCCTGGCAAAAGGCTGGGCTTGGATACAGGGAAATGAGGGAGTAGTAGGGCCTTCCAGGGAGTGACAGAGGAAGGTACAGTGAATTTAAGAAAAAACAAAGCAACTTTACAGGAGCAAAGCCTTCACCCTGTCCTTTCTGTATTAATTCAGCACTCACAATGTACAATGCACTGGCGAGGTGCTGGGTGGCTGTCACATGGGTATAGGGTGTGGCCCTTGCCCCAGA